TTTTTTACAAAGTGAAGTTATTTGTTCCCGTTATGGAGACAAGATTCAAGGTCAGATGTGTCAGATTATAAAATTGACTGTGGTGTTTCCATGACACTGTACAGTTTCCCATTATAAGCAGTAGATTGAAATGCTATAGATGTCATTTGGATCAAAGAATAGGAAAATGTATTAATGGTAAGAGAGGTCAGAAGAGTAAGTTACTGCTACGGGAGATGGTTGGGGAAAGGAGGAAAACACTGGGGCTGCTGAACAAGTTACATGGGGATGTATATATCTAAAAATATCATTGACTTGTACAGTTAAGATTTGAACACTTTTGTTGTTGTTAGGTTCTGTCTAGTTAGTTCTACATCATAGTGACCCTATGTATAACAGAATGAAACATTGCCAATTTCTGTGCCATCCTTAAGATCATTGCTCTGCTTGACTCTATTGTTATAGCCATGGGGTCAATCCATCTTGTTGAGAAGCTTTTTTTTTTTTTTTTCCTGACTCTTTAGTGCCTCCTAATCAGATGTCCAAATTATGTAAGACAAAGTCTCACCATCCTCTTGCTTCTAATCAGCATTCTGGCTCCAAAACAGATTTGTTTGTTCCTGGTAGTCCAGGATGTAGTCAATATTCCTCACCAGCACTATAATTCAAATGCATCAATTCCTCTTTGATCTTCTTTATTCATTATCCAGATTTCACATGCACATGAGGCAATTGAAAGTTCCATGGCTTGGGTCAGGTGACTTCTTTGCTTTTTCAAAATTTAAAGAGGTCTTTTGCAGCAGCTTTATCCAATGCAATGCGTTGTTTGATTTCTTGACTATTCCTTCAATGGGCATTGATTGTGGAACCCGGTAAAATGAAAGCCTTGACAACTTCAATATGTTTTCCATTTATAATAATCTTACTTATTGGCCCAGTTTTGAGGATTTTTGTTTTATTGTTTTTATATTGAGGTGTAGTCCATCAAGAAGTGCTTCAAGTCCTCTTTGCTTTCAACAAGCCAGATTGTGTCATCCTCCAATCCTCCTGCTGCATTCTTCTTCATATAGTCTAGCTTCTCAGATCATTTGCTCAGCATACAGATTGAGTAAGTATGGTGAAAAGATACAACCCTGACACATTTCCTGATTTTAAACCACTCAGTAGTCCCTTGTTCTGTTCCAGTGATTGCCTCTTGGTTTCTGTGCAGGTTCTGCATGAACACAATTAAGTGTTCTGGAATTCCCATTCTTTGCAATGTTATCTATAATTTGTTATGATCTACACAGTTGAATGCCTTTGCATAGTCAATAAAACACAGGTAAATATGTTTCTGTTATTCTCTGCTTTCACCCATGGTATCTCTCATTTCACCTCCTCTTCTAAATCCAGGTTGAATTTCTGGCAGTTCCCTAGTGTATGTAAATTATACCTCAATAAAAATGTACATAAAATTTTTTGTTATGTTAGGAATTTTAGAGGGCTAGGAAGTTGACTCTGAAGTCTCAGAATACTTTTATTGATAGGCTCCTTAGTTTTTCTGGGAGAGAATGGATTAATCTGCTGCACAGGAACTTTTTA